AACGCCGCGCGCCCATCAAAAAAACGACGGGCGATCTGCTCTCTCGGTCTGGGCGAAGATAAGGGCAGTAACACCTCACTTCCAGAATAAGGCTAGGTTAGCCTCTCAGAATCCCATCCCATCGCTCGGCACTCGAATCGCTTGGCTTTTGTCCTCGCACCTCGTCCAGACAGACGACAAGAGAAGCCAATGGTGCGGGGAGCTAAGCCACCGTAGTCGGCCAGTTCTACACCGACGAGTCCAATTTTGAGACGGCTTCGGCGCGTTGACCCGAAGACGTCGCGGCCACGCTTTTCCCCGGCCACCTTTCAAGGTGAAGCCAAATGCAGCCAACAAGCACACTATGCGAAGCAAAAACCTCGGGTGTGTCTCTCTCGCCGTGTCGCTCGCCTAAATGCAACATGGAAGCCTGCGCATTCGGCATGTTCCAGAGAGGTACGGAGTAGATCCTCAACCCACCTCCACCTCCGGTCCCCGCATGCCATGCCATGCCCACCAACAAGCGACGAATCCCAGCTGCAACTCTGAGGTTGCAACTTGCGAGTCTGCCTACCCACCTAGGTAGTCGAGCATCGAACGGCCCCTCCCCTGGTTCAGCGGCAACGCGAAACGGGGGTTGACGTCTGCTTCCCGCAAAGCCACCAAGTGGTCGCAGCAGAGTTATTTGGGGTGGTTCCCGGCTGTGGCCTTGAACTTTTTTTTCTTCGTTCGTCTTGAGTAGGTCGCCAGGGAGAAGATGTGACGCCTGTGCAACGTGGTTCTGGTTCGTAGTTGACGGAAAAGCACTGGTCGTTATCCCTTCTCTGTCGCTGTCGGCCCTTGCCGTAAGGTCTCTTATTTTCATGTATTGGACCTCGGAAGGGCACTTTAGAACAGTTCTAGAGACATTGAATAAGGTAAGGGCAGATGTCTAAAGTGTACCGATCTTTGGTTTCTCCTAGTCCGCAGGGAGGGCGGGTACAGATTCATCGCAGACTTGGCGATTGTGCATCAACCGCCCGTACTGTATGGTGTAGGTCCGTCGAGGTTCTCAGTCATGACACGGTGTGAACTTTACCTGGCGCTTTCTCTTTTCAGATCGTACATCGAGTACAGATGTGACAGACATTGAGATGAGCCCAGTTGCAGAGGGAGGCTACTGATCAGCTCGTGTGACTATGAACCTTGAACAACCAGCATTGAACGGTCTGCTTTTGCGATGGAATTTGTCGATGACTGTCCTAGGCGTTCTTACATAGATACCAACGACGACATATCCCCTTTTACCTCAATTCTAGAAGGCAATGAACCTGCTTATTGGGTGTTCCGTCACCTTTTCTCGCTTCGACGCTGTCCGAAATATGCGCTGCTCCGTCAACTCGACCTACAAGCGTTCCCTCATGGATTCTTTATGGAAAGTTGAAGATTCCTGAACATCCGCCGCCTCAAGAACCTCACGATGGAGGGATTCCTTCAGCAGCCTTGCGGTGTCTTCATTATTTTCATCCTCTCTATGAGACTCCGCGGCAACGATTGACCAAGGAGAACAGTAGAGCTCTCTGAACAAGCCAGGAGTCGTAGGCATGCTCCTCCTGTACCACTAAAGACTCATTGGGTAGCAATGAATTGTGAACTGAGGAGACCAGAGCAACCGCCTGCCCCAGCAGGTCAGATTTGGACAAGTCTCACCTCAAACGGGCTAGTTTCGGAGAAGACTCTTTGAGCTAACCGCTCATTCTCTCTACCTTTCGTGCAACTCCGCTATTTTGACATTGAAGAAGATGGTAAAGTAAGATGTTACCACTTTCTCGAGGGCCCTTACGTTGTTCGCATGAGTATCCATCAACGGCAGTGGGCCGGAATTTCCAAAGAAGTTTATAGCATGATCTAGATGATGAGGTAGCTAGACGGGGCTAAGAGTATGTCCTCCACGGAGCAACCTTCACCGATTTTCTCTTGTAGATCATCATACTGTCTATCGGGGCGAATGTCTACTTTTCGTTCATCAACAAGCAATGCTTGCCAGAGAACCACTCAAAGGGGTCTGTCGAGGATGTTGACGTCGTCGAAGACCCGCCATCGTACGTCCGAAAACAACGTTGGGCAGAACCAAGCCAAGAAGGGTTCACTTGCTATAACTGTCGAATGCTTCGCCGCGTGAGAGACTGGAATTTGAAGAGAAAATCTTCTCACGGCTTCATATAGCAAGCTGAGCTCATGATCGGGAACTGAAACCCTCTCATGGGTGTATTACTTACGCTGTCGTGAGGAGCAACAGACGGTTCACTTCTTGATACATCAACAGATATAACAGCCGCATGATGAGATCTTTGTGAATTTTGATATCGGAAGATGACGAGCCCCACGCTGGCGTGAAACAGATTGGTTCAAGTAGTCACCATGTTTCGATCTTGCCGGTCGTGTCGAAGACGGAGTTCGGGGTCGAATACAGACATGTCGTCTTTGGGTAGGCGGACTTAGTTGGGTCTCTAGCAGCATTCCCTTCCCATGCCGTCCGTTCTAAGAATCCCCTCTTACGATTGTAACGAATAGTCATTTGATCTGGCAGGCGGGATTGTATTCGGTCCTCCTGGAAAGGTTATAGAACGCGTATCTCACAAGTGTAACTAGATACCCGAGAAGTACAAGTCCACAAGAGACTGGACTAACAACAGGAATTTGCTGTATGTAAAGACCTGTAAAGACTCTTCGGTAATATAAAAACTCCATATTCAAGGAACCTGGCGTTATTCTCATGCGATAGATGGACGACCTTCTAAGTTATATACAAGCCACTGTGTGTCAACCTTGAACGACTGGAGCATGAATAAGTTCATTCTGCACCTCTCAGCCACTATAATTAACCATTAGAGTGACTGGTCCGGGAGAACAGATCGACTTCCGAGCACCTAGAACATCAGAATCACCACCCGCATGTGCACGACCATGATAGAGCCGGACTTGAGGCAAACGCGTTTCCCTTCTTCTCCAGACAGTTGTGCTGAACTTGTCGCAATTTAGCGCTGCTACCTAAAGTCTATGTAAGAACATGGAGATCCTCCTAAATCTAGTGGCACTCGAGGCCAAAACGGACTTGCCTAGCATTTCCAAACTTCTCTCATGACATCGAATCCCTTCAGCCAACCGTGAGAGATGGTCACCATACGGGACGCTACTCTTCGTTGAACAGAAAACAGGGCAGGAAGAATCAGCTCAGATAGACTCAATGCAGGTAGGTACATGATTTCATTGCCGTCAAGAAACAATTGCATCAAGCGCGCTTCCCCCTTCCCCGTGATTCATCTCTCTCGGCAGCTCGCCGCAGCTATGTAAATCGGGACCATTGAGTTCCCTAGCCAGTCTCCACCAAGAAGTAAATGTATCCCCAACGTCTACCCAAATCTCGCAAGCAGCGCGAGTGGTCAAGAGCTCTCGGCCTAGTTCATCCCGGAGAACTTGTCAACGACACCAGGCTTCAACTTGTATCAAAAACTCGGAAACGACCTTTCTGTGGAGGTTAACACAAAATCAACACGACCAGACAAGCTTCGAAGCAAACAACAGAAAGAAGGAGGCACAAACGTAAACATGTTCATACAAACCGAGTCACGCACAAGATATCCGTAGGTCGACCTGTGAACCCAAACTCGGCGAGCAGCACACGAGCATCATTCCCAAGCTCATGAACAACTCCAAACCTCAATACCAGGTTCAGGAGAAACCATGTGGCATTCCACCCGAACACAACCGAATCCTAATCTGTACGAATAACTAGGCACCTGGCCGTCCCATAAAGAACCGGTCGTCGTGTCATTTCAACCGTCAAAAAGCATTCACTCAATGTCCCCCGCATGTGTTTGTCTTTTGAGTTTCCCTCTTTCAAAACGCGGGGTTCATCCGCCTCGCAGGGATGAGCTGCGTCAGCAGCAGGAGCAGGAGCAGGAGCAGCAGTGCACCTCGTGGTACCCGGAATACCTTGGACAGAGCAGCTTGGAAATTCCCATCAACCCATTGCGTAGATTTCTCGTCCTTCAGGTGGTCCACAGACGAATCAACAAGCGTGCCAGACTGCTACCTACATGAGCCACCTCATTGCAATTTGCTGTTAAAGCCAGTACCGTACCTTGTAGTGTTGCAGCAGCAGCTCGTGCGGCACGCCGCCGCCGCCATCGCCCCCAACACCCCCAAAAGGAACAAGGTGGGAGAAAGCCTCACTTCAAAACCTAGTACCTTACCACGCCTGCGCGCTTACCTACCTTACTCCTCGCGCTCCTCCTCACAGCCCGTGAGACCCCCCCTGCTGGAAAAAAAGCCTCTTTGGAATTCCGTTTGTCATGTAAACTGCCCATTCGACGAATTCACGGCCATCACGTAACCAGTGGCACGAATAATGCCATTTCTCGCCCATTCAATCAGCGGAATTTACCCTATTGATGGGCAAAGCTATTGCTAGCAAGCTCCTTACGTACAAAAAGGGACCACTTCGTCCCCTCCCTCGCTCGCGGTCGTCTCCCATCCCCGCGCTATTCATTCTTTTCTCCATCTTTTGCCCCCGCCCTCCCTATAGCACCTTGGCTCTCGCTGTTCATGGCTCGGCTCGGAACCCGCACAGTCGAAAGAAACCATTGGACCATTCGACAATTACAAAGATGTACGGGTATATGATTTCAATATCGAATCTTCATTCCTATTTCGGCTTCTCTTTTTTTCGACTATGATTGGGCTTGCTTTGTATGCAGACCCATTTGCGATGGGCAATTGCGGCAGAGGTATCGCTGAGCAACAAAGACGAGAGTAAAAAAAAATCACCATCAAAACATCTCGTGTCATGACCATTCGAGCGCGCATTCCCCGCACTTCTCTATCTCATATTGAGATTCTGATGCAAAACCCCAGGCGGTATGGTGTGTGGTATCGATATCGGGACCGCGCCAACACAATGGGGAAAAAAAGTTTGAATATCGCTCATGAGCTGTTGTACCTCGCCCACACATTCGGGCTTCGCGTCGAGGCGCCGTGTCTCAATACACCGGAGCTTGGTCGCTACGTCCGCCCTGGACACCGGGGCTCGAGTCCCACGGCCCGGGCGATCGTACCGGCGGTACCCGGATGTTCCGAATAGCAGTGAACCCGGGCCCGAGGTCTCGGTCTTGATCGCTGCTTGCCGCACTACTCATCCCGCTGTTATTCGACATACCGCCGCTGCTGTTCGTTCTCGAATGGGATAACCCTCTCGGACTGATGCTTCCAATGCTCTCACTGCCACGTCGCGGCAGTTGCGGTATTGAGTTCTGTCGGATAGGCTGCGGCATGAGTTCGGCATTGGGGCTGATGGGCTGTATGCGCAAGTGCGACATGCCAAAGTCCCAGCCGCCGTATTGATGAACACAGTGAGGCTCCTTAATGTCGCAGTATTTGGTCAACAACTGGTACACTTGTGTTTGCACCTCGGCAGCTGAGGGTCGGTCCATCGGATTCGCCGACAGCATACGGGCAACAATGTGCATTAACGGTACGATGCCTCGGAACACGAGGCCTCCATCGGATTCGGAGACCTTCTTTGACGCCTCCTTTGCTAGTGTCGACATCCAGGACTCGACCTGTCCGAGGTTCTTGTGAAATGACGAATCCAACACAGCACCACCACGACCGGGGGTCTTGTGCTTGGCAGCACGGTGTGCGGCAAAACTTTTTGTTGTCTTTTTGACGAGGAAGCTCATCAGGTCCAAGATGACACAGCCAAGCGAGAAGATGTCGGCGGCTTGCGGGTTCAGATGTGGGTTGGGCGTGTTCAGCATCGCATTTGGGCTACCCGGGTTATCACTCCTTGGGATGGAGAAGTTGGTGTGCGTCTCCGGAGACGTCGATATAGCCATCGTCGCCATACGACCCAAAGGACTCGTTGGACCGCCTGTCGGGCGAAACCATTGTTCCGGGGCTGCGTAGTCGTATGACTCCCGGTCAAACGAATTCTTGTCCGTGTAACCGGCTAAAACCTCGGCGTTTAGTCTCGTGAAATCCGAGTAAAAGATGTGGAGCTGACTGGTGAAGAGTATAGATGAAGGTTTGATGTTCCCGTGGCATAGCCTTCTACTATGAAGGTAGGCGAGGGTGTCAGCGAGACAAAGGATCCAGTTCATAATCGTCCGTCTCCGCTCCTTCTTTGACAGATTCTTAAAGGTGGATGGCGTATTGCCAAAGAAAGACTTCAGGTTGGAATCGGTAGCAGGTGTGAAGAGGACGTATGCCGCTCCGACCTGCGTGTATGAAGCGTAATACGATACCAAGTGGTCATTCTGGATCCCCCTGATGCTATTGATGATCTCGACGAACTCGCCTTTGGAGAGCTGGCCGAACCCGTTCCCCAGTGGGATGCGGCGTCGGTAAAAGACTGTACCGGGACAGTTGGGGAGGACGACCTTGTCTACTGAGGTATTCCCCGCCGGTCTGCGCTCGATGATCTCGAGAGGAACAATTTCGTACTCGTTAAAGACGACGTGGTCGCCTCGTTGGAAGGGCTTCAGCAGATAGGTGAACTGGCGAGAAAAAAACTTGCGCTCAATCTTGTCGTCCCTTTGAGCCGTCAACCTAAGCCGCTCGACATGCTCGGAAGATATGGGCAGGTCATGGTCGTCCCATGAGTCGTCGACGATACCGAAGATCTGATCTGGGATCTTGAGGTCGACGAGAATCAAGAAGATGCGCTTGGCCTTGTTGTTGATCCAGTCCCAATACGTCTCATCCGTCAAACCATCACCAAAAGCTAGTGGCTGGCTTAGGCGCTCAATCTCCTCTGGTAAGAGGTACTGACAGACGAACTGTCTCGTGACAGTAGCGTCAATCTTTGATGCATCCCACCACTGACCCATGGTGCCCGTTGTCCAAAAATCCAGAGGTTGGTCTCGTGAGGGCTGTTCAGCCTTGCGGAGACGTCGGGTCAGCCGCGTATAGCTGGCTCACGGGCTCGATGTTCCACTTGGAGGGTTTTTTTGGCGTGTCCTGGGTTGCTTCGCGCAGTTGCTGGCCCCCTGAAATGCGGTGACGTGCCTGCCGTCTAGGACGCTGGCGATACAGGCTGCATTACCGCGTGCCTCAAAGCCCGTTTCTGGGGGGGGAGAAGCAGCCGGAGGTCGGGATGTGGGAGCTGAAAGCTGAGAGCTGAGAGCTGCGAGCTGCAAAAATAGGTCCAGCAAAAAGAGATTATTGGGAGTGTGTGAGGTTTATGTTTGAGACGAAGCAGATCAGATTGGTACTGGACGGGAACGGAATTATTTTCATGGGGTCAGAGGAAGTGTCGGGTTGGTGGTCAGTTCCATGTCGAGTCCGTCCGTCCACGTCTGCTTCCATGTTTGGGCACCCTCAGTTAAAGAGAGAAGGCAGCTTACCCTTACCTTTGGCTTTCGCGGCAGCCCTTGTACCGCGTCTCGCAAAGCCGTAAGCAGAGGTACTTTGGTCCCCGTTCTCAATGGGCAAATGGGGCCCCAACACTCGTCTACAATTGCCCAGTATCAGCAAGTCCACACACCCAGGATGGGGCGTTTTTGGCTTTTGCCTTTGGGGACGCAGCGGGCGGCATAGCGGGGGCAAGGTTGGCAACACACTAGTAACAGAAGGCGAAGAAGGCCCCGGCGTACGGCTTGCGGGCGCAAGCGCGGTTGCATGAGCCATCAGTCTCATTCTCGCGTGCCCTCGCCCCGTCTGCGTCTTCCAGTTGGAGAAGGGGGGGAACGAGGTCTACGGGACGGCTTGTACCTGTACCTGTACCTGTACTTGTACGAAGCACCCGAACCCTGTCCCCTACTCATAAGCCTGCCGCTGCCGTGGCCATTGTAGACGGTGATGGTACATTCGAGGTGCCCGTCGAGGTGCCCGGTGAGATATCTCCCCTGGCCCTGACTCTCCTAAAGTTGCGTTTACTTTGCCGGCACTCTCGTGATGGGGAACTCTGAGCTTGTGGCTCGCATGACGTGGTAAGCTCATTGGCCGGCCTGGCGGCGAGATAAGAAAACCTTCGAGTCCGAGAGTGATGGTTGTCCCATATGATACGGATCAGTAGCCATCTCTTCTGTATTAGTTAGTTAACCTTGGCCCGTCGTCTATTCGGTAAAAAGCGCCAAATTCGCTCTGGCAGCCTGACAGGCACGCTTTTCAAGTTCGCTGGCGGGATGCCGCACGCACCCGGGGTGCATGGCATCGTACATTGCAAGTCAGCACTTGCTGGACGGGGGCTTGCCTTTTCTTGCTGTTACACTGCTTCGTCCACAGCGCATCGTGGCCGATCCCCCATGCCGTGCGGGTGAACAATGAAGGCATTCTTGGCGTGCGTTGGCGTCGACTGAATGTAGAATGCACGCGACATCAACGATGCTCGTCGCATCAGGTCATCGCGCAGCCAGCTCGCTCCCTGACTCTCGCACCTCGCACCTCGCAGGCTCGCATATCGTAGGCTCGTACTCAAGACCCTGAGGGGGACCCCTCTATCAGGGGTTACTGGCCAACGTCATGGCTCGCAGCGTACAGCGTGGGCGAAGGTGGGGTATCCCCAAGGACGTACTGCAGTTGGTAGGGGTCGACGAGAAAGACCCCCACTCTGAGAGCATATCTTTTTTCCAACGTTGAGCTTCAGACGTGTTCGTGGCTTGGATGCGGTCGCTGCGTCCGCCTTGAAAGATGGGCAGTATCATACATCGTTGCGCGACAAGAAGCGAGGATGGCAGAAATTCGATAGGGCGTACGGTATGCTCCGTACGTGACCTGATCTCACCTGTCTTGGAGGGGAAATATGCTCGCAGACTCCGTGAACAGGCTTCGGGGAGCCAACAGACAAATAGGAGCACTGCACTGCGCAGACGAGCGGGCGTTTTCAAAGTCTGGCCGCCGGGAGGGCGGCGGTACAACCGGTGGGCACCGGCAGGCTGGCTCATTGCCAGGCAAGAAGCAGGCCGCGAGCCAGGATTTCCCAACTGATTCCTTCAACCCACACACTCTCCTGCGCGAGCCCCCGGTTCAATTGGGCTCCCCGGCACCAACAGGAGGTTCCATCGATCGGCGACTGTCGAATAATAATGGACGGGTTGGGACACAGAGATCAATGGTTAGTGTCGAGGGAGGCACGGGAGGGTCGTAGTGTGCCGTTTTGGGTATGCTTTTTTGGGCATTTTGGTCGTAGAAGCTCGAGAGCACCAGGCGCTTGGATACTCGCTGTCTTGGCTAAACCCTGCATCGTGCCATGCCATGTCTGATCACAGCAGATTCCGGGGCAGCACACGAGCTGTTGAAGGAGTCGTTCTGCGGTGTTGTTATCGAGAAAGTGCCCGTATATCCGCAAGGTAGTGTACGGATATTCTGCTGCACCAGGAGGGACGTTGCGGGCAACAAGGCAGGCGAAGTGCAGATTCTCTATTGGAGTATCAGCATGAGCATGAGCATGAGCATGCCCCCGGCCTCTGCTCATCACGATTCACCCGGCGGTACCATGTTCGTTTGATAACCATCGAGTGTCTCTAGGCTTGCTTGATTGGATGCTGAAGCGGGAGAGATGACATGACTGGTGTCCAAGTTGCGGTCGGTAGCGAAGGATTGTGATGCAGAAGTGAATTGCCAGGATGAGAGTCGGAGTGCCAGGCTCTTGACGTCCGCCGGCCGGTGTCAGTGGAGAGAGTGGAGGTCGGCTCGCGAGACGGGAAGAGGAATGGAAGGAAGGGTGGGAGCGGCGGGGGGAGGTCCAGACGGAAGCTGCTGCTGCTGCTGCTGCTGCTGCTCTTGCTGCAAGGTCACAATGGAAGGTGCGAGCTGGAATGCAGTGGTGGGGTGGGACTTGCTCCGCGTGCGTTCCTCAACTGAGCGGGAGGGGGACGAAAGTACCGGTACTTCGCTTACCTCCAGCGAGCCATACTGGCTTAGGGCATCTTGGACCTTATGTAAAGGAAGCCGGAATTGCTGGATATCTCCTCCAGAAGACAAGAGCACTCACTCATATCGCGACAGCGGCCTGACATGGATGAGACTGAGCCGAGTTGGCGCTTGACAGTTATTGGTAATCACGATCGCCAGATCTGTCCCAGGCTCTCGGAGTGGCCCTGGGCCCGCTTTTGAGCCCTCTCAACTTCTCCTCTCACTCGATATAAGAGATGTTTAACTCAGGAAACGGAATTGGACAACAGCCTGGAATACCAAGATCGACGCACTCATTGCCCTCCCACACTCACTTCACTTACTACGACCCTTTCACTGGCGACTGGAGACTACATGTATGCTCTTCCACATGCTCGTCGACGCTCACCCTAGTGGCGATCCCCCGGATTACTCGACATTTGCCGTATGTCTACGCTTGCTTTACAGGCTGTCATTTCTCTCTTCACGATGATTGAATCAGTCCACGAACTCTTGCTCGTGTTCACCTTTCATTGCCCAGCAAACCGTTGCCTTGGCGGGACGCACAAAAGCACTCTCTGTGTACCTTAAAAATAGGTTACCGGCGTTCCTACGAATAGATTGTGTCCACTCAAGGATCCGGGCGAGACTCTTTCGCGCCCGCAGAGCTAGGCCCGCAAACGTCTCTCCCTGCACCATCCTCATCTGACATCTGACAAACTAATGAGTTGCAACGAGTATCCGTACATGTAGCCCGAGAGTTTAATGTACCCTGCGGTGACTGCCTGTGGCCGACCCAAGCTTCCTTATTACCTCGCATGCTGCAAGGTGCCCATTTGTTGCACTAGCAGTCCAGCAATCAGCCTCGGAGTCTGTTGCTCTCAAGGCCAAGGGCTAGGCCGGGCCTGAAAGTTTTACCGGGGCTCAGTGTCGATACAGCCATGCCTCGCAAACTCAACACAGATTCCAAAGGGACTAGGATCTAATAAGAAGAGAGCATATCTTCTTGACATTTCGGCGAGATGCTTCATTCATGTACGAGCAACTCAGAGGTGCGCCGTGCTACCTCTGGCCAAGCAAAGACTTGGTCGCTCGCTTGGCGGGGCTCCAACGAAAGCCACCAAAAAAAAAGTCGACTCTCTCGATCACACCTCTATTGGCCCGCCGCAAGTCTTGGAAAACGAAAGAAACGGGCGCTGGTGATGGTGAGTGTGTCACCGGCAAGCCATTCGGTCCATACCACAAAGGTCGCAAAACCCACTCGACATGACGTGCCTTATCGCGCTACACAATCGATTAGATGTTTATATTATGAGATTGAGTGAGAAATACTCTATCATGGACCAAAGACGGTTGTCGAGATCTGTGAAGCTCAAAGCTACTTCCGAAGCCAAGGTCTCACGATCAAGGACTCAATGTACAACACCCTCGTGTACTCGAGCCCACTATCTATTGGCTGCGGTGGGTACTTATCCAGCAATAGCAACAGCAACTCTTCGGTCACCCGAAATGGCCAAGCGTGCAGAAGAAGTCCGGAGAACCGTGTTGATCTGAAGTTGAAACTTCGGATCACACCTCAATGATTAATGATTGCAAAGCAGCATACTCCGTACTAAGGTTGACATTGCGACGGAGTTACGGAGGTTTGCTCGGCTTCCTTGAAGCGAACACCTGAACATTTGAAGCGGCGCGTAAAGGATTGAGATACCTATCCATCTACCTAAGAGCCAAAGGTGACCTCCACTTGATTTTGCGCCATCTGAGTACATCAAAGGTACGTAAAGCACGTTTCCGAAAGACCTTACTTGCCTACATCTCGACTCGTCCCAGGTTGCGGATGTGTCTGCCGAGCAAAGGGCATGGCGACAAACCAACGTTGAAACTTTGCAATTCTGTGTTTAATCCAAAATCTAGAGTTATGGGCCCTGGTCTGGTCATGAGTCCTGTCCAAGGTCCCTTTCGCAGTCCCAGCTCCGCCGTCCTACACCAGCTTCAT